TTCGTGCTGGTCGCGCTGGTGGTGGTCATTACTGGACCCTCGTTCAAGTCCCTCCAACACTCCTAGCTGCTTTTGAGGTTGCAGTAATTCCTGTTGGAGGCTTTGCAATAATCCTGGTCGCCAAATTCTTTCTTTGCAGCTTCGAGGAGTCCCGTTCTAATTCTCGTCCATCGACGACATCCCGGAATATTCATCTGGAATTCCCATCTTTGCTGCACGTTTCCTAATGTTCTTTTTCACTCTGGCTAGTGATTTCGCAGGCTCATCAACTTTTCCATGCCGACCAGGGCAATGACACCACCGTCTTTTGCAACATGCGCGTAGCTTAACGTGGATGGCTCAGATGCCCTGACAGGTGGGAAGGGCCTACCTGATCGTCCTTTTTATACAGCCGTGGCCGACTTTACGGGGAGCAAGGAAGGAAAGGCACCTTGAAATTCCCTTGTACCCCTTTTCAAGTGAAGACTGAACGAGACATTCTTCTCAGATCTCTCACGCTGCAGCTGTGAACGTCCCCCACCCTGTATTACCTCGCCACTCTCTCGAATCCCGCCGAACACAAACTCCCTACCCTCGTGTGTTATGGAGCAAATGTACGATTTCTCGAGATCTCAACCTCTTAGAGTGTTCCGAACCCTAGAATTGCGAAGCTTCTGTGGGAGATTTCTGCTCAAGAAGAAATCTTTTGCCTCGTACTTTGCAGAACTTAGGAAACCTTCGACCACCCTTCTCTTTTAACGAACGCTTTCGCACTAGCCTCCAATACCTCAGTCTGCATCTTAGCCCAATGACAGATTCACAAAGGCGTTCAATCCGGCCGGAAGAAAGTTACCACGCAGGAGGAATTTTTGTGGCCGGTCGTCCCCGTTGCTGACATCCAGATGTGCCTTTGTCTTGGTGAAGTGCAATTTGTCGTCCTCAGCCTCTTGAGCAGACTGACGTGGAAGGACAATTTCTACTCTTCCGATGCAGCCGACTTTTCGGAGGAGATACACATTGAGGCAGTCGAGAGCGCTGCGGTCCAGGAGCAACAGATCCGGGAGCAAAAATATCAGTTTGTATCAGGAGCCTTATTATCATATTCTCTTCCTTTACGTCGCTGATAAAATATCTCTTCTCTTCAGATATTCCTCGTTTTCCAGGGGAAATGCACGCTGAGGTGGCCATCTAGGACTAGCTGATTGGTCGGCTGGAGGTTCCCATCTTGGTTTGCTGAGTTGTCTGAACAGCTCTCTGGCGGTGAGGACATGTCTGCTCTTCCAACGCAGCTCACTTTGCTAGAGCAGCAGATCAGGGAGCTGAAGATTCCTAGGTCGCTTGGCCCCGAATTTTGATCCGACCTTTGCTCGGTCCGGAAGATAGGGAGATCCTTTCGTACCCATCTTTCCGGTGGTGAATATGAATTGCCCGGACAAGAGTCCTCGGGTATCAGACCGTCTTCCAAACTGGAGCGAGATTGCATAAAAAGCAGAAGTCGAAACTCTTGCAGCCCTGATTCTAGTCCGTTGTGTTTGCCTTTTCTCCTGTTGTTTGGGCCGTCCTGTCCCAGGACCCCTAACCCACTCAGCAGACGCCGGACAAGTCTATCTATCCTACCCAAAATCATGGCCCAGCCTTACTGCAGACCGCCAGGAACGCGCTCGCTCCGCCACGCCACGGCGTCGAGTTAGGGCGAGGAATACGAAGCGGCCATGATTCAGAGCCAATTATTTCCCCCACCACTCCCCCAAACACGTCTTGAGATCGGGATTCGAGATTTTCTTGTGGACTGGTGTGGTGTGGAGTAGTGACTTTATTGGCGTTCCACCAAAGGTAAGGCCATCGACTTCGGTGGTGGGCGCGAGGCTGGTCAGGCTGAACTGGGGGCTAGTGAGCTACTATGTGGAAACTTTGGTGGCGCTAGACTCAATTAGTTACATTGAGCAAAAATGTGATTCTTAGCCCTGTGCATAGAAAAGGCAATAGTGACAACATAATTTCCCCGAATGGTCCAGTTTCAAGCACACAAACATCAAAAACCCAGGCCAGTCAAGTCTCGAATGATTCCCGCAAATTCGGCCTTCTTCTGGGTCGGGAGCGCGCCGCGGCTCTCCCACTGCCGTCGGGGCAAGTCCATCCAGTCCACGCCATTCCTCGTGCTGTCCTTGCTTTTCGGAAGTCGAACACCTTGGGGCGGGTGAAAGTAATCGTACATGTCCCAGATCTGCTTGACCTCTTGCAACCTCGGGTAGTTGGGCCCGTAGTATGCCGACGCGTAATCTCTCAGCGATACATCCGCAAAGTTGATGTATGCCGCCTCGCTTTCCATGGAAAAGCGCCTCAAGTCATGCTTGAATGCCTCCAAAAACTGCCCCATCTTCGCCGACAGCCATTTGTCATACCACCGGACCATGATGTACGTGAAGTAGGTGCCAGCACGCCAGGGAAACGCCGTCTGGTCGCTTTCCACGACCCTGGCATGCCCTCCGGCGTGAACCCATGTGACTTCGAGGATAGCCTCGTCCTCGCTGAAAGAGCTTTGGAATCTGTCTAGCCAGTCCCTTACCTTGTCGGCAACGATGTTGACGATTTCGAATCGCTTCTCGAAGACGAAGGAGGTGTAGAGGCTGTAAGCTTTGTTGGAAGGAAATGCCCTCGTAGTTTCCTCCCACCACTGAGCCACAAGCGTCTCGTGAAGGAATAGCGTCGACGGTTCAGACAGTGTCCGCTCCTTCATCCTGGCAGCTAGTTCCGGGTGCACGTTTCCGATGGCGCGGTCGATCAGGCCCCTAAACTCCCTCTCCTCGCCATTGAAATAGGCGACGAAACGAACATAAGAGCTAGCGTCGTTAGGCTTGACCTCGCACACCCAGTGGGTGTCAATCGTGGCATCGACTGGCCAGTCGAATCGGTAGAGTTCCCTCATCGCGCCCATGAACGACTCATCCAGCTGTGAATACGTGAATCGCCCGGCTACTATGCGGTCGTGCACCCGCTGGACCTTCATCTTCAGCTCGACCACAACCCCAAAATTCCCGCCACCAGCGCCGCGAAGTGCCCAGAAGAGCTTACCTTCGTTCGACTCTTTATCATCGGTTTCTTTGACGGTGACGAGGTCTCCCTTCGCGGTGACAATGGTTGCCTCTGTCAGCGAGTCGCAGCCCATGCCGAATTTTCTGGTGAATGGGCCGAGACCACCACCCAAGACGAACCCACTCACTCCGACGGTAGGACATCGTCCACCATTGATCATATACCCGTCGTAACGACCGGCGACCAATGCCTTGTACGCATGGCCCCATTGCGCCCCACCTCCGAGCGTGACCGCTACTGGTTTGTCGTTAGGCCCGTTGTGGAGGCGAACATCTTGCATCCGGGCAAGGTCTAACAGAATGCCTCGATCGGTCGTGGAGAATCCCGCGAAGGAATGACCTCCGTTCTTGACCGTGATCTTCAGCCTATTCGAAACGGCTGTTTTGATAATGGTCTGAACCTGTGCGGGGCTCTCGGGCTGGACGACGAAGTAAGGCCTTGAGAAACGGTACAAGAGATTTGCAGTTGCGACGGAACGTTCGTACTCCAATTCTCCCGGACTGAAGGACGGAATTGGGAATTTGAACACCTCGACTATTTTGTCTGCCGTCTCCATCTCGGCCTCGATCTCGGCGGCCTCGACCTCAGCCCCCTTAATGTCAACGCTCGCCATAGACTGTGTTGAGAATGTGTTAGCTAGCAATTTGATAATTGAAAACCAACTGCCCTGGTCTCGGACGCCGCTTTGGGGAGCGATATACGAGTTTCTGCCTATTGTGATGCTTGCCAGCTTAATCCGAAGGTCCCTAGGCAACCGGTTGGAATATATTCTGCTGTGGGAATTTTTGCATCCCGTTGGAAATCTAGCGCCAACACAGAGATATGACTAACTGGAGGAAAGGGGCCCCAGGGAATACCTTACCCACAGCTCTGCCCACCATTTCACAGACAGGGCTACTTGGTTAACCAGGAATATTCGGGATGAAGTGTGAGCATACAAAGAAGGGTGTGCGGGCATACGGTGATCCAGTCTGATTCAAGCTTGATGCAGCATTTGGGCGTGCGATCGTAGCATGGGAAGACTGTATTCGTCACCTCGTACACAACACGAGGTACAACAAGCATATGGCATGCTTTGGGTTCACGTCGTAGTGGCCAACTCACATTCGCAAGGCGCGAAATATCCCTGATACCGCCCACGTGGGTTTCAGCAGCGTTGACAGGTAAGCACACTCCCATCATGTAGGACGCTGCCCTCCAAGACGGCCCGCCTATCACGGTTCGAACGAGTGGTAACAACAGTAGCATTGATAAGATTTAGTACGGAGAGAGTCAAAGGTCGGAGAGACATTGGAAGAAGGAGTTACTTGGCCAATGCTCATGCTGATGCTAAGACTCGATGGTTGTGTTAGGCTTAGGCTTTGTCACGCTAACACCGTGACCTCGTCAAGCGAATCCGTAACTTCATCGCCACGTCAAAGTCAAGGGCGCACCTAACCTATAGGTAGCCTCATTCATCCCGTGGATCATTTTGACAGGTGAGCGGCATGAACCACCAGGCTTTGGGCAGCTTGGGTAGCTTGGGCCTCTGTGTCGGCTGTACGATGTATGACTTGTCGATTGGACTAGCCTGGTCAAGCTAGACAGGATATCGCTTGGCGCTACGGCCCAGGCTACCGTAGGAGGCTGGTATTTAAGCCTCCCTGTCACAGATTGAACTTCTCTTCCATGACGAATCAATCAATCAACCTGGAAGTTATGGCCCAGATTGGTCCAACATTGTCAAGTAAGGCATACGGGAGAAAAAAAGACACGCTGTGCACGCAAGGCTGCTTCTGCCCAAGGGGGCCATGCAGGGATGGTTTGTGATAACGCAGCCTCGCGGGTTCTTGCTTAAAACTAACCATCTCGGCGACGCGACTTCTGTCGACGTTCCCTATTTCCCCTACGAGTAACTCTGTGATGTATGCACCAAGGGATTCGACACAATGTATCAGCTAACATTGGCCCTCTTCATTGCATTCCTCTTCTTCAGTCACCCCTGCGGAACTGAGACCATCTCCTCTAACTCGTCAACCATTCTGGCTGACATCTACAGGCCCTTCCTCACCAACCTGCCCCAGAATCCTGCTCGGTTTAACCCTTTCCTAGGCGGACAAAGCTTTGACGTTTGCTGCCAGTTAGTTGTCAATGAAAGCCTTGTCATCGACAATGACACCCTCCGCATCCGACCTGGCCAGACGTTCTATCGTGGGAATATGGCAACGTTGGAAAGATTCCCTTCTTTTCCCTGTTTTGCCAAGTTTAACGGCACCATGGCGGGACCACCTGAGGACTTCTGGACGCCCTATTCCTGGTGCCGCCGTCGTTGCCCCGGATGGGCCGCTACAAAGCCGGAAGGCTTCGCCAACTGGCTGAAGCCGCTGATAGCATTCATCCTGCCATCTCTAATCTTCTGCCTCAGTATCCCACGAAGACGGCGAATTGAGATCCCCGGGAGCCTCTTTTCTGGCCCGGGTGGAGTCCGAGGAGCGCTGCTCTACGCCCTCAAGATTCCTGCAGCGTTCGTCATCGTTACCGTTGATGTCCTTGTATGGCTCTCGGTCGTTTTCGCCACCTCGGGTCCCATTCTGGTTTCTGCCATCTACGACGCGCTGCTCGACGCTAGGATCCTTAGATTCCTCCAAAGGCGCGCCGGTTCCAATCGCCTGACCATCCGCAATCGCGCTCATCTGTTGCTGGTCGTTCTGCTCGGCAACCTCGACTTTGAACCTGCCTGGCTCCATTCCAAGCTGTTTGTCCGAGAACTTCCCCAAGACGATTTCTTGCCTCCGCCCAGCGCACCCGCGGCTGCCAACGGCGAAGCATCCTCAACGAGCCCATCGCCAGTCTGTCAGGATGCGGCGGTTGAAGCCAAAGGAAGCTTGACGGCAGCCTCGCCAATAACTCCCACGCCGCTAGAGGTTTCTTGGGGCGGTGACTCCGCCTCCTTCCAGCTACAATCCGTGAAATCTAAACTCCGAGCCATGTTGGACTCCCAGGCTAGCTTCGGGACCACGGTTGGGGCACCTGTGTTGTTCTACCTCGCTTCCTTCATATGGAGCGTTTACGAAATCGAGTCTTCCTATGGCACCTAGTAAGTCTGCCTCTTCCTCTTCCTCTTCCTCTTCCTCTTCCCTCTTCCTCTTCCTCCCCCCCCTTCCTCCTCCTCCTCGTCGTCGGACTTCACAAGTTGGTTCGCATAAGTCTAATTTTATCTCAAAATCCAGTCAATCGGCACATCAAATCGCATTCGGCCTGTTGTGGATGACGATCCCGCACATTGCGCTCGTCACCAGCCTTCTCCTCGCAGGAAGCAACCCTAGCGTTTTCCAGGCCGCCGTCCCGCGGGACGGACGAGCGGCCAGCATATCCGCGCACTTGGAGAATGGCAAGACCGACGACGTTCGAGCGCAGATACGGTACCTCTCCCGGAGGCTGCAGAAAGTCCAAATCCCTTACGAATCCATGCACGGCAACTCGCCCTACAGAGCTGCGTGGATCTGGAATCAAGGGTCCAACAAGGCGAGATGGGTCGCAAGGTTTGCCGACGAGTATCGTCCCCATCTTGACTCGGTTCATAAAGAGGTCCTGGGCCATCGCTTCGGGAGCACCCTGTGGGTGGCTGGATTTTCAGCCTTCATTCTCATTTTCATCCCGGTCTTCTTTGGTGGGATGGTGAGGTGGGTTCTTCCCCGTTTGGCCTCCAGCTGGTTATTGGAAAACTTCAAAAGCTGACATGTCCGCGCCGCTACTGAAATCTTTTAGTTATCATACGCCTTCCGTCGGACTCGGCTGCTGGTCTTTGACGATGTTATCCTATGGGGTTATTCAGCTCCTTCTTATCATCCTCTGGCTGGTGAGCATTTTCATCTGGCAACGCGGTGACGACGGGAAAGTGATCCACGATGCTGCTATGGTCGGAACGGCTGGCACATGGTACGGGCATGTATGGTATGCTAGCTTCGCTTTCTCCGTCTGCGTCAGTGTATTTACGTCGATTGGTGGGACAAGTAAGTACGCCACCTCCCGCCGATTTCCCATGCACCTAGTATGATGTCTCTCCTCCACGACAAGACTAACACACCGAATCCTTTTCTTAGTTTTTATCATGATTGGGTTATTCAGCAATTGCTTGTGCTTTACCCCGGTGAGTGAGATCATCCACTCTCCCGACCCGCCTAGCGCAAAGTAAGCGCAAGCAAAGATGTACTGATGGTCCAGAGAGCCAGGCAAGGTATTGGATAGACATCATGACGAATCCCGAGGCGGTCATCTTCTGGAATGGCGCCACCGACTCGCAGCTGTATAACTCGCAGAAGTGGTGGTTTCCCACTGGCGCCACCGGGACCGTTTTCATGGCCGTCATTGCGTATCTGGGATGGTGGTACCAAAAGCGCCTTAGGGCAGTGTTTCATGATCTCGTGGAAGAGATATAGATATATAGGTATAGGTAGAGGTAGAGCTGATATCCAACATGGATGAAAAACCCCCACGAGAAAGAACCAAGGAGGTAGTCCGGGCTGCTGCAGCACTTGGAGTCGTCGACATAAGGATAGATATATTAACTACTTGGACAACCCGGGGAAGTAGGGCTGATGGATCGACAACAGACATAGACAAAGTATATCAATACATAATCACCTCGGTACGTATAATCGCCTATATCGGAATCAGGAAAGGAAGGAAATTCCCAGGCGGAAGGAGAATTTGAGGAGATACACGAAAACTTCAAAACTCCGCGAGTACCGAGTATATAGGTAGGGAGGTAAGTAGGAGGCTATTGAGTCTCGTCCGGGAATCCCATATGCTCCTTCGTCTTTCCCTCCTCCTTCCACTTTCTTCACAGTAAACTAAAAGACCAGACCCAGCAAGCTCGCTTTTCGCCATCATATCAAAAATTAGGTACGTGAGAAAGGTTGTAGTACTACTTCCGCTGGCTCCTCATGACTCGATTTTGCGCCACTCACCATCGCCTCGTGCGCCGTCGTGGCATTTCTGGTCTCATCTCATATATCTCGCGCTCAAATTCGCAAATGCGTCGGGGCTATGCCTTCCCGCTTCCAAATTGTTGATGCTCATGCTCTCAGCGCTCGCATGCCTTGCTGCGATACCATGTTGTGGCCTCTGTATCCCCATGCCAGCGCCCATACCTGCGGGCATGTTCATCCCCTGACCGAAAGGTTGCCCTGATCCGAAACTCTGTCCAAAACTTTGGTTTTGAGTCTGGGTCTGGCTTGGAGGAGGTGATGTAAATGGGCTACTGCTTCCACTAGCGAACGGATTCAACCCTGCATTTGTATTGGCGGTATTCATGTTAGCGTTGCCCACGTTGGTCATGAAAGGGTTTCGGTTCCCACTTCCACCGGCAGAATGCATATTGGACAGCGACACAGGCATAGTAGCGCTGCGTTTCGCCGGTGAGACATGGCTGTTGCCGAATATATCACCTGAGGGTGCATATGAGACTGCTTGTTGTGGTTGGTGCTGCTGTTGCTGTTCGGACGCAGGTTCTGGGATTGAAGCGAGTGGTTGGGGAGCGAGTTGGGGATAGTTGTAGAGGGCTAGAATGGAGCTTTTGTCGAAACGGCCTGTTTGCTGGGCCATTGTAGGCGGCTGGGTTTGCTGAGAGACTTGCGGTTGGAGATATGATGGTTGTTGCTGAAATTGAGGCATTTGTGTCGACATCGATTGCGTCTGTGTCTGTTGCTGGGGTTGCGTCTGAGCATGGGTCTGTACTTGAGGTTGATTATATTGGAAATTGGGGAAGGGAGATGGATTCTGAGGCATTTGAGGACTCGAGATTTGAGACTGTTGCTGCTGTTGCATGCTATGTTGTTGGAAAGGATTGTTCGGCTGGGGCTGACTCTGAGGTATAGTGCCGAACAGGTCTTGCGGTTGCAACTGCGGCTGTTGTGTTGTTTGCGGAGGCGAATATTGGGAAGGTGGTATTCCAAAGGGATTGAAATTAACCGGAAGCGAGCTCTGCCGTTGTTGTTGTTGTTGGGGTGGTGGTGCTGATTGTCCAGGTGACTGGAGATTCAGGAAAGGGTTCGAGGAGGGAGAAGGAGGCACTTGGGAAAGGAATGGGTTATTCCCTGTCGACTGAGCTGAAACTGAGGTAGGCTGGAAGAAGGGATTGCTGACTACAGGGATTGCTGCCGGCGACGCTGCATAGCCTTGTTGGTATTGCGTCGACGTGACTGGAGGTGTCATTGAATACTGAAAGCGGGGATCTTGTAGAGGAACAGGTTGGCTCGGATATCCACCAGTACTGTGAGGAAACAGGGGTTGAGAAACTTGCATGGACTGAAAGGATTGCTCGAGTCCAGTCTCGGTCGAGCCGTGATTAGGCTGACCATAGGGATTGTTGCTGCCATAAGTTGTTGCGCTAGTCGGAGTTGAGGGCTCTTGCGATTTCGCCAGTGATAGTCCAACAGTCTGCTGGTTAGTGATGGAAGTAAATGGGTTGTATGATGGCTCTTGAGGCCTGGACGTGGGCTCTTGTCTTGCGGCAGGCGTTGGTCCCTGTCTTCTGGAGGAAACAGTATCGCCATTTTTACTTGGGCCATGTTTCACCAGGGCTTCAATGGTCCTTTCCAAGTTCCCATTCAGACGTCGCAGGAATTTCGTGTTCTGGTCGGTGTTGCTAAAACCCATGTCTCGTAAAGTCGCCAACTTCATTTGCAGTTCGGCGTCTGTCATCTCAAAGCGCGCATCGTCCATCCTCGAATCATACTCTCCAGTGGGGATGCGGAATGTGCTATCCACTTGAGGCTCCTTATGATGCTTCTTTTTATCGTGTTTTGACAAAGTATAAGCAGACGAGGAGGCTCGAAGACCAAAGCCGAAGAATTTTCCCTTCTTGGGAGGTAAAGGAGGTGGAGGTGAATCTGGATCGCCAGCCTGAGGTCTGGAATAACTCGAGGGTAAATCGTCGTCACGTTGAGGAGGTTCTGGTTTGCCATGTGACAGACTCTTTTCCTGGTATTTCTTGCGTATGAATCTTTCCATGGCCGAGTCGACTTCGTCGACGTCAAGAGGCATGTCAGGCTTCTTGTTCTTGGGATTGTAAATCTTGTTGACCGCGTTGTTGCCGTTGCGCCTCATGTTCTGCGCGATGCATTAGTGAATACACTCTGAGATGGAGTGAGGATTCCGCCCACCTCGACCTGCTCTGTCGACCAGGTGTCCATGCTCAAGGACTTGACCTTGGAAATGTGCGTGCCCAGTTTACGATGCAGGGAGGCGCACCGCATGCAGAGGAAGATTCCCAGATTCCAACTCGCCCACGCCGGGTTCTTCGCACCACAATCGGCGCATTGTGAATTGCCGGGGACGGAGAGCAACTCGTGAAGCTCCCGCTCATTCCGCGCCTGCGTTCTCTTGCTCATCGAGGCCATGTCGAGTTGCGCGGCGGGTGTCCGATAGGATCGTGGCGAAAACTGAGTCGAGCCGAAGGTCAACTTCACGACATGCGGAGCGGCGCGAAATTGGCGTGGATGTTGCGACGTGAGAGGCTCGAGTTGGTCGACGCGACGGATCTCCGACACTTCAACTCATTGCGACGGTTTAACGCAGCATTGAGCCCTTGGTCCTTGCAGAATCGATTACCAATGTCTCTTGCGGCACTTCATTGAGTGGTATGAGATCTAAGCTATCCTTTGTTCGTCCATCTGCGCTTGCCGCAATTACATAAGTGGATGCAGTGCTAGAACCCCCAGACACCCTCTTCTGGAAAATGGTCCAGCGAATAATTAGCTATGCAGCCGTACTCGGTACCTTGTCGACAACCACCACTTCGTGCTGAAGGAGAATATTGGTCCTGACGGCCGATTCAAAAGTCACAGAATATGCTTGTGGTTATATGTGCAATTTTCCGCTGAACAAAAGAAAGTTGATGACTATCTACAATCCAATCTATGCGGCAATGAGACCAAACACATCTCAACCGTGACCAACGCCAACATCATGCCACCACTTTCAACGTATGTGTAGTTGCCATTCTTGATCTGATTCTGCGACTCAAGACATCTCTGAGTCTCCATCGCTGCGTCTACCCGCAGAATAGTCGATCCCATACCCATACATCTGCTGGAGCATACCGTATTGATGTTCCATAGGTTCGTCGTCGGACAGATGCCACCACTCTCTGCTATTGTATGCAGGGTCTTTGGATTGCTTGTAGCTATCCTCCTTCATCATAATAGGGCCAAGTTCCGTTGAAGCTGTGACACCGTTGGTGCTTTGCTGTGCCTCATAGCCGTTTAATATGTACGGCTCAGCCGTGTGCCTCATCTCACCAGCGGGCAAAGCACATAGATTCTTCAATCTTTCTTGCTCCACCATCTGCAATCGATACTTGGCAGCTTCTTCTTCCTTTTCCATGCTTGTCTGTGGCCAATTTGCCAAATCGTCAGGGTGCATCTGACTGCCGTACGTTGGAGGGGCGATTTGCCAAAGTTCTACCAACCTCAGCCTTTGTTCAGGCTCTGCATTCTTGAACAACTGCAACTGAGATGGGAACAACGCCGAGGCGTTAATGCCGGATCGTTCGAGGATCGTCGAGACCGGAAGATCATGTGGTGCCTGGTGTGCCGAGTGATGATAGTGCTGTGTAATATAAGTGATCGGCGCTGACTGCGGGACAGCTTGAGGGGTCGGAGGCATCGACATGTCCTGTGGAGACTGGAAGGGGTCGAGATGCAGATTGCGTGTCATCATGTTGATCAGGTCGTCCTGCATCTTGATGTCGCTCTCGGAGGCCGATAGCCCGCACTAGAGCAAAGAATCAGAAGGTCATGAACCGGGATTGGAACTGGACAAACCTGTCTGCAATGAGGGTTCTCTTCAAACGCTGCCAGATTGTTCGAGAGGTCTGTCTCGTAGCCACAGTGCTGGCATCTGTGAAAAGCGGACGCCATAATCTGATGACTTCAGATTTGAGAACAACACCAGCGGTTAGAGATCCTTTGTCTGCAAAACGAGAACCAGGCAGGGAAGAGGAAGAAGCAAAAATTCTGGGATTTAGGCTTCAAATTCGTATTGTACTAACTAACACACAGTCTGCTATAGAAGCTCCAGAGAGTCCAGCGAGGTCCGGTTTCCGGATCCCGGGGGGAAGAGTCCAGGCGGGCCGACGGTCCAAAGTCCAGAACAAAGAGCGAGCTTGGGTCCAGATGTCCGGTCCAGAAAAAGCCTGAAGTCAAAAAGCTGTTGATCTGTTTGTGAAGAGATATGAAGTCAAGGGGAAGAGGACGAGGTTAAAGGGAGCAGAGGAGCGGGGTAAGGAGGATTTGGTAAATTGTGTTCTGAGTTCGTCGGGTTACAGAAGGCGGGACTCAGCTCAACATCAAAGCGTGAGGGCCGCCTGGTGGAGAAGAAAAGAGTCTGCGAAATGTCTTTGCGATCTTTTGAAGCTGGGAGAAGTTTGTAGGGAGCAGAGACAGAGAGGAAGTGGAAGCTGAAGGTGAAGAAGGTGAAGAAGGTGAGAAGGTGAGGAGGTGAGGAGGTGAAGTTGGACGTGCAGCAGAAGGCGGCAGATATTATCACACATGACCAGTCAGGGAGGCGCTGATGACACGTAGTGCTCGCTGCTGCCCAAACACGCCAAAAAGTTCCGACATTCGCCTTGGCGACACTAGGTCCTTTTGGGATGAATGCTCTTCATCCGCAATGGCGCGGCTCTGGGGAGCCTGCGATCGCATTCAATGAAACTTTGGCCGCGATAATAGCAGTTCCCTCTGCACAATCCTTCTCCCAGTCTCGAAATATATCCTTGCTGGGACTTCTCTGACCTGAGATTCTTCACTGAGCTCACACCCGTCACCAAAACCCGGATCTCCTCAAGCTATCCCGTTGCCATGGTATATTACCTATAGTCCCATCGAAGGTCTGGCAGAACACTAATTATATTTTTCCTAGACGTCGATAGGAACAGGCTATGATCTCTCTAACTCCGTCTTCTCGCCCGATGGACGAAATTTCCAAGTCGAATACGCCGTGAAGGCGGTGGAAAACGGCGGGACCTGTATCGGTATTCGGACAAAGCATGGAGTGGTTCTCGCCTGCGAGAAGATCATCACCTCAAAGCTACTGAAGCCTGGTTCCAATAAGAGAATATCCACGGTTGACCGTAATGCCGGCATCGTCACTTCCGGACTACTACCAGATGGCCGTCACCTCATCAGCAGAGCAAGAGACGAGGCCAGTAGTTGGAGACAAACATACAAAGCCCCCATTCCCATACATGCTTTGGCGTCAAGGGTAGGAGGTTATGCGCAGGCATACACTTTGTACTCCAGCGTACGGCCCTTTGGGGTAACCGCCATTTTGGGTGGCTGGGATTCTGAAGCGGAACACGGCGTAGATGGTCAGGTTGGAGAAGGTCCTGCGTCAGGCGCGGGAGGCAAATTGGAGGGCGAAGCTGTCAAACGAGGTGGTCCAGGTCTCTATATGATCGAGCCCAGTGGATTGTACTGGGTACGTCGATAATCGTGGCCGCGAGAAACGGTGCTGACGAAGTTCCCCAGGGCTACTACGGTGCTGCAACAGGCAAAGGCCGGCAAGCTGCCAAAGCTGAGCTGGAGAAGCTTGATCTGGGTTCACCAACCTGTGCTATTACCCTCAAAGAAGCCGTCATGGAAGCTGCCAGGATCATCTACGTCGCGCATGAAGACTCGAAAGACAAGGAATTTGAACTCGAGATGACCTGGATCTCAAGTCTCGACGGTCCTACCAGGGGCCGACACGAGCATGTTCCGCAAGAGTTACTTGAGGAGGCCGAGAAAGCAGCGAAGAAGAGCTTGGAAGGAGACGACGAAGACGAAGACGAAGAGGATGCCATGCAGGATTAATTGATCCCGCCTTTCCAGCACTGTAGCATTACCGGCGTCGGAAACGGTCGATGGGGTCTGGTTATCTAGTTCAAAAAGGAGACGGGAACCAACCATCAGCGGGATATCTATTTTTTGGTGGCTCTCTTCGTCTCTTGCTTCGGGGGCTTGACACGAGAGAGATTTCCCAGGCTTGTGATGTCCTCGACAAGACCAATACAAGCAGATGGGCAATGTGGCCTGTATCAAGTTCCGGCAATCTTGCCTTCTCCCCAGCCCTTCCTCTTCACGCCAAGCTCGACAGCTGCATTGCCCCAGTCCTCTCCATGGTTATGTCCCTTGGCCTCCTTGCCTGTGCCTCCTTCAAGACCAGCTCTGGCCAAACCTTGGCCTTCGTTCAGAACAGTTAGGAGACCGAAGATGACTGGGACACCCGTGTCCAGCTGCACTCTCATCAGTCCGTGGCTCACAGCGTCGGCAATATATTCGAAGTGCATAGTTTCGCCTTTAATGAGCACCCCAATGGCTATGATGGCATCAAAGGTATGCCTTAGTCCTTTGACATCTTTCTTCTCTGGCTCTGGCGGGCCTGGTTGTAGACTTCCCTGCAGGTCTGTTGTCGAGTTACTCCCTCCTAGAAGGTCTCCAATGCCACTCGCGAGACTGCCCATTCCCCCGGCGACTGTGCTTGCTGTGCTCTGTATTTGAGAGGCGGCATAGACTCGTTGGACTGCAAGAGGAAGCTCGTAGGACCCGGGCACTGATTCAACGACGATGTTCTCCTCTTTCACTCCTTGGGCGAGCATGGCATTCTTTGCACCGCTGACCAAGGCATCGATTATGGTGCTGTTCCACCGGGCATGGACTATTGCGACTCGCAGGCTGGAGCCATCGTGTTTCTGAGGGGCGCCGGGGCCCTTGAGAGTTGCCATTTTCAGTCAATACAAGGATCAGAGCTTGAGAGCGCGGTCTCGGATGCTTTTCTGAGCTGAGGTCTGGAGTAAGTGCGCCTGGTCGCAGTTCGAGTGTCAGTGAGGAGCGAGGGCTAATGAGGCTAGCGAGGCTTGACTGGGGGAAGACATCCCGCGCTTAGCCGCAGACGACATTTGCAGGGTCAAGCAATCAGCCCATTTGCCCCTCGACAACCCCTCGTCGCCCTCTGTGTTCCGCCTCTCAGTGCCCTTGCATATCTCATTACGCTTCCCAAACCTCCAATCGTCGAGCCCATCCACTCAAATCGCTATCCGCCATTGCGGGTCAGGCGTGCGTTACGCTTAAGCTGCCCTCCATTAAGGCTACACCTGCACTTAGGGGTATAGCAACAGGTGAGTTCCAGTTCCATGTGGAAAAATCTCTGCACATGACCTAACGATGTGGACCGATAATCAAGGGTACTTAAGTCGGTTTGCCCCAGCATTCCTATGGAAGGTACAACCATTACTACACCCTTGTCTACCCTGCTGGACTATATAAGATCGAGGCCACCTTCAGTCTTCAAGACCCATACTAATACGGATACCATCAACAATGGCACCATCAGCAACCAGTGGTGATGGCACCAACGGCATCACAAAGACAAACGGCCAGACGACCGGCACTCAGCTGAAAGCAACGGCTCCCACATTCCACCCCGCTGGCACTCCCGACCGATCAAGGTATCATGCTTCATCCTCTCAAGAAGCCATCCACGCCGAGCACGAATATGCCGCCCACAACTATCATCCACTACCGGTTGTCTTTGCTCGAGCACTGGGGACAACAGTGTGGGATCCAGAAGGCCGACAGTATCTGGACTTCTTGTCCGCATATTCTGCCGTGAACCAGGGCCATTGCCACCCTGAGCTGGTCAAAGCCCTCGTTGAACAAGCCTCCACACTCACCCTGAGCTCGAGGGCATTTTACAATGACGTATTCCCGCGTTTTGCAGAGTTCGTCACCAAGTATTTCAACTTCGACATGGTTTTACCCATGAATACCGGTGCCGAAGCGGTGGAAACTGCCATCAAAATCGCCAGGAAATGGGGATATAAATCCAAGGGTATACCCCACGACGAGGCCATCGTGCTCAGTGTGGCCGAGAACTTTCACGGGCGGACATTCTCCGCCATCTCCATGTCTACAGACCCCGAATCCCGCGACAATTACGGCCCCTATCTACCCGGCGTAGGGAGCATCTCTCCAGCAACCGGCAAAGTTATCCCCTACAACGACATCCCCGCCGTCCGCACGGCATTCGAATCCCACGGCGACAAGATCGCGGGCTTCCTCGTCGAGCCCATCCAGGGCGAAGCCGGCATTGTGGTCCCTGACGACAACTATCTTACTGAACTCCGCGCACTGTGCGATAAGCACAACGTCCTCCTCATCTGCGACGAGATCCAAACCGGCATCGCTCGCACGGGGAAACTTCTCTGCCACGAATGGGCCGGGATAAAGCCAGACCTTGTTCTGCTCGGCAAAGCCATCTCAGGCGGAATGTATCCCGTCTCCTGCGTTCTCGGCCGCAGAGATGTAATGCTCACCATCGAACCGGGCACGCACGGATCTACCTACGGCGGCAACCCGCTTGGTTGTGCAGTCGCCATACGCGCCCTTGAGGTCGTCCACGAAGAGAAGATGATTGAACGGGCCGAGAAACTCGGTCAGATTTTCCGTGAGGGACTGAGAGGGCTGAATTCAGACTTGATCAAGACGGTTCGGGGCAAGGGGTTGCTGAATGCGATTGTTATTGACGAGGCCAAGACGAACGGACATAGCGCCTGGGATTTGTGCATGTTGATGAAGGAGAAAGGACTATTGGTAAGCTCTTGCTCTTCAACTCCCCTTGAGAGTTTCACTTCCTGGAACATGCATGGGGTTCTACGAGACAATCGACTATTCTAACCGCCTATATGATATGACAGGCAAAACCGACGCACCAGAACATCATTCGTCTTGCCCCACCGCTAGTCATCACCGAAGAGGAAATCAACCGTGCCTTGGCCATCATCGCGGAGGCAGTGGCGGAACTCCCCAATCTGAAGGGCGAGAGGGAGACGCAGATCCTGCCCGAGGGAGAGAAGAATGTTCACATTGGTGTGGAGAATTAAGCTGGACTATTCTTGACGGAAATTTCACGGGCAACACGAGGTACGATGCGTCTATTATCGGTGTGTGACTAAGGATTCACGCTTCCCCACGGACATGAATTTTTGTGCGTAAGGTGGTATTATTAAGATCCGGCCTATTTTAGTACAGGAAAACGCCAATTGGACTGCCAGGGTGGCGGCCTTTCGCTTGGTATCGTGTGGAAAGCTCTATACGAAGAAGGCATGAGCCCCATATTGGACCCGACTTGGCCGCATGGATACCTGTAAATGTTCGGGTTGGCGTGGACAAGAAAAGTTGAAAGGGTAGTCGGGATCATGATTAGTTCGAGGCTCGGGGCTAGTCACTACGAACCTATGGGTAGAAATTGAATGCTGGCCGTGATACAAAAGTCCAAATGAACTCTGGCGCCCACTATCATCCATCCAGATTCCATCATGCTTGGCCCATCCCATCGATCAGCACAACAGTCACAGTCCCTTGATCTGGTGGATTGATTTCCTCTTTGGTCTCTTCTCCGCAAAGATCTGGCCCACGTACTTTAGATCATGGGTGAGTGACGGCTCCGCCTGGTGTTCGCTAGTGTAGTCGCTGGCGATTGGGCCTCTTGGTGGTACCGTTCCAGTATCGTTGGAGGGTGCTGCGTCGTCGTTTTTCGAAGTCGAGCCCTTCGTGGCTGCAGTCGTTGATGGGCTGGGACAGACGGTCCATGTTCTCGGTTTTCCACCTCCGGGTTTGAGATGGTACGGCTGGTGTCGGTACAGCTGAGGGCGTGCCACGGTTGAGTTCTGGCGTCTTCGGCCATGAATCGTTGCATTGGCGAGGCGTCCTCAGGCGTCGGGTACTTCGCCCTTAGTGTTGCTGGGTTGCTCATGGTACGGCTGATGTGGACAACTAGAGGAATGCAGAGACAGTGCTCCGTACACCGCAGAGAGCATTCGGACTCGCTTTCCAGCTATCCGTCCGTCCATATAATGAGAGAATCTCTCCATCTTATATGCTACTCACCGATGGTCCAAGTCAATCCCTGTCTGCAATACCTGTCCGTGGTATCGTAGAACACGATGTCAGTCTCTGGACATCGACAGCGGCCTCATTCTTTCAACTCCTTTTGATGAAATCCTGCGGCCGGCTCCTAAGATATGTCCTGAAATGTTTGTTGAAGGCACCAATTGACCCTGCATTGCTCCCAGCGACTGAGTCCCGGGTCAATGCAATCATGCAGACGCCAATAGAGCGCTGGACCGGCCATCCTCTTGGGGAACTTCATTGGTGGCCTCAACATCCCCGGCTTATTTTCGCAGCTGTCTTTTCCGCACGCCGTATGTAGGCCCTGCCGGGACGATTGGATGTTGGTGCAGGCCCACGTTGCGGAGGTGGTGGCATCAAGCTAATGTAGTGGCAAGCTTCGAAGGCAGGGCAGAACGATGGGGTGAGCTGGCGACGAGGCAGGGACAAGAGCTGGTCTTTAATCGATTGGTGTAGGTAAAGGGCCTCCGGTTACACCAGCAGGGCGGTTGGCTGAGCTACTGTCAACTAAGTAATAGGCATTTAAATCTCCCAGCCTCCCAGTGCTCTGACCTTGTCCTGATCTTCTCTCCAACCTCCGGGGTTGTCTTTGACACCCGACAACACAGAAAATTTCCCATAAAGGATTATCAGAACTAGACTCGGAGGTATTCACACCCCATCCCTCAGCCCATCTTAGGTTCCATCCTTATATTTCGCGCAACAGGAATCTTTCCAATCCACCCGGGTGACTGTCCTGCTTGGAGACACCACGTCTTCGCGCAGCCGTCATCCATAACCGCCATTATGATCTCCGAATAAGTTACGATGCTCTCAGCCCGTCTCAGGAACGCCATTCTCTTCAGGGTTATGCGGTTGAACCCCTCGACGCAAGCCTTCAGCTACCAATTTCGACTCTCCTTCCTGCGGCTCCAGGCCACGGTCATGCACAGAATCTAGCCGACGATCATGAATTCTTCAAGGCCTTCGAAGAGTTCATCGATCAGAAGTTCCTCGTCTACGATCCTTGTATGACTTGCCAAGCTGTTCCCGGAATCGAGGGTCTTTGTGACCTTCCTGGATCAGCAACCGTTTGCCAGAACAAATCCCCTAGCAGTTCTGGGACTAACTCCGCACCGACGCCCTCCTCTATCACGTCCCACAGTGGAAGTAGAGAGACTTCCCTCTCCAATGTACCAGCCCAGCAGCCCAGTGGAGTTGATGACTACTCTCAAAGGCTATCAAGGGGTTGCCTCGAGTCTGCTGAAATTGTAGTGGATTTCCCCTCCAGCCGGTCATTGCACGAGCCCAAACGAGTCGAAGGCGACCCGCAACTCCTACCAACGGCCAGCATTACTACGTCCTTCTTTCTCAGATTTCTGCATTGCGACCAGCGTTACGGCACGGGCCCTATTCAGGCTCACCGTTTTCCGGTGAGCAATTCAAACCCATCATGGTAACATTTGAGCTCTGACTAATATAGGGAACATGTAGCAAAACATACCAGCCAAAAGTGTGGCTTCCAAGGCTATAAAGCCCTTCTAGAGAACGATCGACAAACGCTCGAACGTCACTTGAGGACAGTTCCTGCCACTTCATCTCGGACTCCAGACTCTTTCAGGTGTACATGCGGGAAATCCTACAGACGGAGGGACCATCTTATAGGCCACGCCAAGAATCGCCAACGTTACCAATTAAGTCTGGCGACAGAGGATCGGGTTTAGTTTGCGCTGATTGGGATTTGGGACTGACTGACTAGGAGTTAGGATGACTTATTGGAACTTGAGACGAGGGTTGACTGATTTTGCTGTTCGAGTGTTGAGCGCCCTCCTCCTTTGGGGTATCGATCACCGGCACATGGCGGCAGGGCATCATATGCGGATAATCGTTTCTCATTGCCATTCTTTGTCCTATTTTCCAGCGCCGTCAGGATTAAAGGCATTAGTAGGAGAGTTATACCCAGGCTGATTGCCAGATCATAGCTATCTCCTTCATCTATTTCATTAAGTAGGCAAATTCCAACAAGTTCATGACAGAATATCAGAAGGCCAGTCTCCTCCTTGGTTGTCCTCAGCGCAGTAGGATATAGTCAGTTAACTTCGTCCTCTTGTAAACTAATCCCTGACAGTTCAGTCTCAGTTTACGCCCCCGACGTCACCGAACGCCGGTCAACAGGTCGGATAGTCTTACAACTACTCCAGTTAATAACGCTGAGCTTCTGGCGCAACCAGCAACGGCAAGACCATGGTTATTTTCTATGATAAATCATATGTAATACGCTACCTCTTAATAGAACCGTAATTTAACATAGTACGTATTCCGCCAATAGTGTGCATCCCTTTAAATACCGTATAATCTAATAAAACTGTACACTACATAATACGTAATCACGTTGAAACCGTAGTCATTTAGGAACTACCTCTTTATCAATGATGAAAGGCTACGGCGTCATCGTGCGGAACGGTGTGTATACCATATAGTCACGGTTTACACAGCCTTAAAAATCGCGCCAAGATACTAAAACTAACTGACGAGGTCCGCAACTAAAACTACGGCTAGTTTAAATCAAGTCTTGCCAACGCCAGCTCCGACCGCCCAATCTTTGGCCAACTCTTATATAGTTCGCAAATCGTACACTTTTCGGCTCCCGGATCCAGCAGATCCAATTTCGCAGAGATGAACCGGGGGCGCCTTGGATGCGGCACGCTGAGCCAGTAAAACTTGAAAGAGTGCGGATGGCCACTCAGGAATTGTTCTAGCTTCCAAGTTTTTAAAGGTGCAGGCAGCAGTTCCCCTTCATGCCACAAGTCTCCATTAGAGCACCAGCGAAGAGGATTCTCTGACCTTCCATTGCTTATTTTCCTATCGCACCCCGCAAAACCCTTGCGAAGAGGACTCTTTAGCCTTCCGTCATGGGTCTCAACGTCGTCAGAAATCTCGACGTCCGCCTGCATTCTCATCTCGGGAATCAGAAATTGGACCGGCGCTGTTGGAGGCTGCAAGACGGATCTCAGGCTCGCCACGCACTCTAATTTATTCATCCGGCACTTCTCCCTTTGGACTTTCCTCCATCGAGATTTCCCCGCTTGTTTTCGTGCTTCTCTCCTTTGCTCTTGGCTGGTGGTGTCTTCAACGGTCTCTTGCTGCATCTGCGGAAACTGCTGGCATTGACGCATCGCCCGCGCATTCGAAAGCATCGGGCTGCTGCTGTACTTTTTGATTGACCATAATGTTGTCGTCTTCGTCCAGTGCGGGTTGTGATTCATCTTTGGTCGTATACGGCTCTGGGATGGAATACCCATCGCGGGTTCCATCAGGCGGAAGATCGATGTTGGTCTTGGAACATTGACGGCTTGCTTGGCTTGCCGAGTTGTCGTCGTTCGCCCCAATATCCGTGAAGTGTGGTTCGCTTGCCAGATCCGCATTTGCGGGAAAGGGGCCATCGCATCTCGTCCTGTCAAGCTCAACGAACTCAGGCCCAGATCCGACACCAATAACGGGAGCGCATCGTTCTTCAGAGTTCCGAATCACCCACTTTAAGCCGTGCTCTTCAACCACACATACGAAGGAAGATGACGCTTTCAATTTTTTCAGGTGCTTCTGCCTGTGCGCTTGCAATTTCGAAGCACAACTTCCTCCAAAGTCGGTGGCTTTGGCCACATAATAACATTTCTTCTTCCGTTCGGAATCGAGACTGCCGACAAACAAATAAACATCTCCGTGGCTCTCGGCTCTTTGACGATCCTAAAAGCAGAGCCCTGATATAGTCCTTCGAGAGCCTTGCTCACCTCCTGTGATGCAGGGTTTAAGTCTTGTGTGGAGGTTGTCGATAGAGAGGTGTTATTAAGTTCGGAACTCGCCTCGCGCAAGGCTGAAGCCCCTTTTCACATTGGAGGAGAGGCGACGGAAAAATGGTTGTCGAGGTCGTATAGATGAACAACTTAAAGCACACTGAAGCGTTCAGTCCTGGATGTGTCTGTCTCGATGACAGGAGTAGCAGGATGACAGAATTGATCACAATGAGATAGTCTTCGGGGAAATTTGCGGTGGTGAGGCTCAGGCAGGGCAGGGCGAGGCAGGAAACTGAATTGGGGCCACCAATCAATCACTTGTTCTCTTATGCAGCCAATAAACCACCCCGTACCTAAGTATGTCCGAGAACCCGATCTGTATTGTCCATTTATGCAGCTAGAACTCCCATGTCGGCTTCAATCTCGCCTGGTGTCGCGGTCCCACTCCGTGACGCCGTTCGACCACGGAGCGCGGGTTCTCATGGTCGATCCAAAGCTCCGTTTTGAGAAATCAGGCTGTCTCGCGCTTTGGCACTGATGATCAGCCACGTGTGCGCAGGATTGATTCGTTTAGGTTGCCCAAAGCAAGGGCTCGAATGTGCGGGTTTTAGAGAAGGAGCCTCTTACGGATGTGAATGAACTAGCGCCTCACTTTGTATATGCGTCATCAGATGGCAGGACAAGTGGAGGGGAACGGATAGCCGTATCCGCACCGGCATCTCCAAAGACATACCGAGAACGTTTGGGTCTTGCAACAGCAGGTTGGCGCTATTCGTTTGGAGGCTGTGAACCAAAGGAGCTCGCAAAAGCATTCGGCGGGAACAGATCGATCGTGCACGTCCTGGCGTATCGGTTCTGCATCAATCTGTAGTTCTCCATCCAGCCCGTATGTAGCTGGTATCTCTTCGAAGATCTCCGGGATTTCTAGTGAAGCAAGCAGAAGTCTCTCCGCATTATCTTGTATCAAAGGTTTCAATCGATGGAGTGCTGTCAACATCCGTGTGACCCCGGTCCGGATCTGAGCATACCTCTCAACGATTCGGAAGTGCTGATAGGCGGGGAGCCAAATGCGAAGATGCTGGGCGCCCAAGATGAAGTGATCCTGGCTGGGCTGTGGCCAGTGGACATTAGATGACATCGGTCACTGGTAAACACCTGAGATCCAAGGACAAGTTATGAAGGAAATTCTTGTTGAGCGTTAATAACGCCAGCTCGTGAGACTGCGATCTCCCTTTATTGCGTATTTGAGTCTCAGTTTGTACATCAAATCCGAGAGTTTCTGACTGATCGTTGTGGCGATGCTATGCGTATAGGCCGTCAGTCAGGGCCATAGTTCCTTGGAGAAGAGGATTGCGCCAAAAGAACAGCCCAACTTCATGATTTCCGCTCCCCACTTTAGCCTCTTCTAACCAGGAAGATGTAGTGACAGCACTGAACTGCACGTAGCCGATAGCGTCCTTCTTGTGCACGAAGGTGCTGATGAAATCACCTGACAATTCGACCATGAGAGCTGTCCATCAGTATTTTGGGTAAAATTCTGTCGAAGAGCCGCGATACTGCAGCAGGAACGGAATGCTACGACCTGGGAGTCTCTTCAATTGCCATTCTTGCTCCGCCCTCTTCATGTGGCATTGTGGAAAGTCGAATCTCCCAATCTCTGGCCGGGAGAATGGACATCTAGATGACTTCTCACTGGCCCTAGTCGACAGTGCCAGCTACTGGACAACGCCGAGAGCGCCTTGCATCAAACGAGGCTCTGACGTGCAAAACAACACTAAAATTGAAGCGAGAGCAGTCACAGGGGCATATGGAAGTGGAACTACAACAGTTCTACTTGGTCCAACACAAAGAAACCCTCGTCCTTCTCGTCTTTTGCAGGGTTTGCAATAAGGAACCAATGACATTTCAAATGGGAATGCAAAGCAACACGAGACACAACAAGTGGCAAGCCATGATTTGTCCGGCCAAACTTTAGGAGCCTGTAGAGAGGTGACCACTCTTCGTGTGGTTTTTGCGTCCAAGCTACATATCTCCAAATCGACGAACCAGAGCGAGAGACGCTACAGGTAATCATAAACTCGAGAGAAAATGAGAGTCATGGTAATACGTCGGGAGACAATTTAGGACAGTAGCCCTGTAAACTGACGATACGAGGAATTGTTGCGAGCCGCCAAGGGAATATCTGGCGACCTTCACTCTCTCAGCTGCTGAAAGCCGCGAGGGGTGCTGTAAAGGCGGACGTAGCTGACTGGAAATAGGCAGCTGAGGACGTACGCAGCGATATTCAATCGACAACGGGGCAAACCATTAATGCTTGGATCCTCCTGAGCACAAGCGCATTCGTTCGACCGATTTTTCCTCTTCCAGCCAGGGTCATCTCTAGACGGCGGCTGTGGCCTGACTCTATTATTCTAGACACCAATCTCCAATCCTTTTAGCAGCACAACGTGTTGTCTGCGAGTAGCGGTTGAAAGACCTTGGCAATGAGGAAACAAAGAATGCTACTCTGCTAAAATATGTCGAAGATCATCACAACCTTCACCTGTCCCCTGTCGCCGTGTCAATGCGCACAAACATCTCGTAGATTTCACGGGGTTGAGAGATACATTTTATCCTAGCGTCCGTCCTGCTCCGTGTCGACCTTCAAATCGATGATGTCCAATCCCTGGTGATTTTTCCGTGGTAACATCCTGCAGTATATCGTTGCCGGGAACAACGGCCGGGAAGGTCTTAGTAGCAGCAGTAATGTCTCCGGTCGAGAAACTGTCTCTGGAAATCTGTTGAAGCGAGGCGTCCGACATTTGGCCTAACCACTGCTTCGACCTTGCCCCGGCCGAGACCTTTCTGGCCGATATTAGATCTCCCAGAGTCGCTACAATGACTTGTTGGCCATCGTCAGTCATACGAACATCCTCAAATACATTTATTCGGTCCCTTGCGAGTTCCTCTGTAGCCTCATCACAGATAGAAAGGCATTGTCTGATGGTTTCAAGGTCTTCAAATACTTCTTGGGTGTGAGGGATATCTTCACCCACACCTCTCTCACGCTGAGTTGGGAGCAATAGCCTCTGAAGTCGATGGTCGGCGTCCTGCAGACGCAGCTGAAGTTCAGACATCGTGAACCGAATCCCAGTCCTGCAATCACGCAACTTTTCGCTTGTAATCCGACGGGCTAGGCTTTGCCGCGTCTGGGGAAGTCTCCGATCATTAGCGACCTCACGGATCGAGGCAGTCGGAAAGATCTCCGCCTGGACTTGTGCCAAGTGGTTTGCGACCTGTTTGCACACGCTGAGGCAATATTCGATATTTGCTCTCTCCTCTTCAATGACGGATTGATCGAGGTTATTGGCACTGGTAAGAGATGATGCTTCTCCCTGCACCGGAGACTGGGCCAGTTCATTGTTAGTCTGTTCCAGAATTTCTTGGAGATCCGAGGTGGTGTTATCGATCATCTCCTTGTACTCGCGAAGGAGCTGACTAGTCACCATGGTGTGCCGTCTGCAGAATTAGCCATTTGCGGGAGGCCTAGCAGATGACCACACTCACATATTTACATCTGCAAGGGCAATTGTAATAGTTGACTTGTATGCCCCGATGACATTCTTAAAGCCGACAATATCTTTGCCTCGATAGGTCAACATGACCCAGTCACGGAAGCTAGATTTATCCCCGTTGGAACGGGCTGTACACTTCTCAATGATGTCTGCGAAGTCTCGACATGCCTGACCACATCGAAGGAGGGGCAACTTCAAGGCTGACAGATCGATTTGCTCGTCGCTTTGGATATCGTTTAGAGAACTAAGCACAGCTTCTAGCGCCTCAAGTTCTTGTTTGAGCTCTCGGATGTTTCTGCTATTGTTTCTAAAGCTGTCCAAAACTCCATAGAGGGTCTTTGTCGACTGAAGAGTGAAAGCCGTCAAGGCTAGAACGCCAGACGCCAGGCCTATAGCTTCCGCCATAGTGACAGCAAGAAATTAGAAAAGGAAACTAAAGGTACTGAGAACTCAACATATATATATATATTATGCCAATCTCTCGATAGCGCGCGGCTACATGATGGTCAAAAGAGATCAGGAGAAGACCAAGTCATTTGAGAGGTGGATGCCTGAGACGAAGTAGATTGCCAGCTTATATGCGGCACTCCTGGGCGCTTATCTTGTTAAACTTGATACAACTGGCAAGGCGGGCTGGGCGGGGTAACCAGTAGTTCCGGAAGATCGCCCGATCTCGGTAAAACGTCGGCGGATGTCGCCCACGTGATGCCCCGTATACTGGCACAACTTAGCAGTTCAAGTGTTGAACGCTGAACAGTTGTGGATCTATCTGGTTGATTGTGTTCTGTCCCCCTGGCTATTCAGAGAGACTCTGCCTGTTTATATATACATTGGCCTGTAACCATAAGAGCATTCCTGAAACCTCCTATTCCGTCGCCATTCCTATCACAGGTCTACAGGAACAACGAGGTTGAGGCAGTTTGCGCAGTTGGTGAAGCGCCCAGCGTCTCAGGTGGTTTGCTCCAGTGGTGCTCTCGCGACCCTGTCAACAGCAATCGTCAAGTAATGGGTCCAGCCGATTGTTGATGGCGTTGTGGCGAAACACAGAGGAAGAAAGAGGACGCAATTTTGGCAAAGACTGTCCAAATTGGATCGAATCGATATATCAAATGTCATGGACGCCTGTTATATCGACACTGGGACTACCTTGATCAGCATCAACCCTCTTCTGACTGAGATCAATGCACATTCAACCGTCGTCTCTCTGTCCATGAATGCTTATCGGTCTTATTGAACAACACAGAAAACCCGAGGTATTAAAGTCCACCTTGGACAAAGTTGATGGATACTTGCCTAGGGATAAACCACCTCTCGGGTCTTCACGACCCTGAACTTCTCCGACAGCTTGCTGCTGCGGATATATTTTTGCCTTTCGATAAATGGTTTTCAGAGCATGCGGAACAATTTCGAATCCACGAGGCTTCAAGTCACGTCAACTTTGGAGCAACGAAATTGAACACGGTAGTCAAAAAGTGGCCATGGAATCCGATGAGGAGCATGCGACTCCCGACAAGTTTTGGGAGGTGATTGGATCTTGTAAAAGAGCCGAACGATATATGGAGTGGAATCGTGCGTAGGGCAGCGTTAGTGACCTTTTAGATTCATCAGCCGCATTTTGTTTTGTGGCTACTTAAGTAGCCCGAAACTATCTGAGGAAGGAGTGGATCAAGCGTCTTTGGTCCAAAGCGACGGAATAGAAAGGATTTCCTGAATGTGTCTCGTCACGGAGATCAATCAAACTGACACAGTTATCAGGGCATGGAAAGAGGAGTAAAGCTATGACTCAATGGAGGACATGATAGATTGTAACAGGGCTAAGTAAAGGACTCGTCGAAATAGTGTATTGCCTGCCACGATCTCTCGTTCTCTGTCTCATTCAGGCCTCATGCTGGTTGAGCATGGCCGGTTCTCACGGTGTCTTCCCATTCCCTTCGCAGCACCAACCCTTGTGTGTTCCCTCGTGGGTCGACGCCCAAGCCCACTGCCTCGTACGCAAATCAACGACCAATACTTGCACTCCTATCTTGCTGTGCCCATTCACCATGGCAGCTCACTGGGCGATAGCGAAACAGGCTTTTGGGTCATCGAAACTTTGCTCAATGCAGTCTGTTCGTAGGCTGACCTCCTCCATTTATCACTCGATGAAATCGCACCACCACTGCCGACTTGAGAACGAATTCAGAACTTGACAGATATGATTTTGATCAATCTCGACGTACTTGTGCTACAGCATGCTTAGTTTGATCGCTGGGAAGTGCTCAGACAATGGTGGCGTGCGGTCCCGTATGAGTATTTTTGGGGAAGCCTAGCTTTCGGCGAGCTTGTCGAGTGTCTCTGTCATCTCCCCACAACATGACCAAGGCAATTTGGAAATCTCGTTACTGAAAGCATTGAGAACTCTTAATGTTCCATACTTGCGGTGGGGGGTCGGCGATTTCAATTTCTGCCAGACTACCAGCGCCGATTGAAACAAAACGATAGGAAGCCATATCGCCAACCTCTGGTCTTCTCGAAGCCGATGGCATTGCTCGAGGATGAGCCATGCAAGATCTAGTGCTTTGTCTGGAATTTCGATACTTTTGAAAGAGCTGCTGTTACACCCCGACATTGCTGCATAATTGAGATCTCCGAGGCCAAGGCATGTCAACCGTAGATGGGCAAAGTAGTACAATGCAAGGATGTCCTTCCCGATTTGGTGCTTGAAATGCCGCTCCCATCGCGAAAGGGCGGCTGACATGTCAGCAGTCAGACGGCAGCGCTCACCCTGCACGGACAGTGGTATGAAAGGGTTTCGTAAAGGCACACCAGTGACTTCTCCCTCATGGTATCCAGGCGCTGAACAATGGCAGTGCTGCATATAGATTATGTCACTCAACAGTGCCACCAGTAGAAGAAGAGCATCTTCACAGCTCTTGGCATCGGCTGGCAAAGCGTAACCGTGAATCATAGAGTTGTAGACTGCTCGAAAATGGTGATTAGAAGTGGGCATTCTAATATACAGCTCACTCGTCGAGAAGTTCGGCATTGACTGGCAATGTACTGCGTGCATAGTATCAACCAATATCAGATAGCCGACAAGAGAACTACAAACAGTCAGCTGGGCGAAATGTATATGACAGGCCTCACCTCTTGATTCCAAAGGCTTTCTCCGGCAATTGTGTAGAAGCGTAAACTGGCGAATAGCCGTCAATTAAATGTGTACGCCTAGACATCTTCGGTCGTCAGTGGATCCTTTTGTCAAGAAAAGAAACCGCGAATCATACTGTGGCTAAGTTGCATAAGATGCCCGACACATTTTCACGATGCTTAGAATCCGCTGACAGTGTACCATAAGTGCACAGCAGTGCGGCCTAAGTTTGCCAGGGTCAGCCTCGTTGCCTTTTTATCGGCAAATCCTTACCGTAATCACTGCCTCACACAGCCGGCTTTCTCGGTTATCAACTTCCAGCATCACAATCCATATGTTCACCCCAGCAATGAACAACCCAGCTGAGAGTTCGGCTCGAGACGTTCCCGATGCCACGATGTCGCTGATCGAGCTTGTGGAAGTTATGGAACCAAGGCACGCTAACGCAACCTGGAAGTACAAAGGCTGTCGTCCTGAGCACCAATTTAAGATGCGGACTGAATTGAGGAATACGTGCTGTTCGAAGGAATCGAAGAATGATGCCTCCAGTCGGGCGAGTGTTTCCTCTGGAGGAAGTGTTGGAATATCAGACAGCATTACCACAGGATAGGCGTACGCTGAAGTCATATCCTGCAATCTTAGAGCTTAGGGGAAGTGCCCTGACAATGATGCCTTCGACTCACTGCAACTACCGGTTCGGACGCATTGATCACAGATTCCGGGTCCAACAACACATCTTCTGCTGCGCCTTCACTGTGGAGCAGAGCAATCCGAAAGCGTTCCAGGAACGTTGCCGCAGGACTATCAATTGCGTCGTGAACATCCCAGCGAGTCGGGTGCCGGCGTTCACCAGGCCATTGTCCCGGCCTATAGAGCCTCGGATGAGACTCGGTCGTAGAATTTTGATATGGCTTGTCAGGGACCGTTGTACTGGCCGCCATGATCTCGATGTGAGCTTCTCAAGAGTTTTTGAAGCCTCAAGCTTACATACTCGAAGGTATGTCCAGATCTGGCCTCCACTCTGTCCGCGGCTGGCCTTCGGCTTTGTTCACGGTTGACCTCCACCTTTGTCCGCGGCACTTCTGGGGTAAGCTGTTCTCTTCAATATTGCCCCGCATCCGTGCCTCAGAAGAGAAGCATTGTTGTCAGTGTGTAGCAAGGGCGCCGAGATAGCTAGTGTCGACGACATGTCTGTAGAGAGCCAGCAGGGGAAGTCGGTATGTACAACCCTATCCTGCAGGCTATGCCAGAGAGATTGTTTCCCGGATGAAAGCTGACCGTTATGCCAGTGCGATATTTGTCTCCGCAGCTTTTCTAGGTCGGAGCATTTGACACGGCATCGTCGAATTCGTAAGCTTCAAAACTCTGCTTCTCCGACTGTTATTGAACTGCTGCAGACACCAGAGAGAAACCATTCACGTGTCCTTATTGTCGAAGGTCTTTTCAGCGCTCGGATGTAAAAGCTGCCCACGTCCGAAAGTGCTATGCAGCCCCTTCAAATCAGTCCAATGATGATGGCGCACGAAGACGCGTTCGCATTGCCTGCGATGGTTGCAGAAGAAGAAAAATGCGGTGCGACGGCAACGACCCTTGTGCGAAATGTCTGTCCACCGACTCTGCCTGCCAATATTCAGCGCCAGCGAGCTCATCGTCCGCGACGAGCGATACTCTCAGCGCTAGAACTCCAGCCGAAGCGTGCTCATCCCAGGCAACAGGAGACTTCAACGCTCCTATCCTGCTTCCCACCACAGTCAATGTGGCGGGAGAATTCGCTTCGCAATACTCCGGCTTGCAACTTGAAGCGTCTTCGACAGGTCCCTCAAATTGCGAAACAGTCGACCTCGACTCGCTGGACAACGATGACCGAAATGTGCTACGTCTCGGACTTTCAAGACCAGCAGCTTCTACACTTGATAGCATGAGTTGTGACGTACTTGCAATGCCCATTAGTCCCGATGACGACTTCTTACAGTTCTTCAGTGCCGAGGGCATGAGAGGGCAATGGCAGACGACCCCAGTGGTATAACCCTAGCCTTTTACGCCCTAAATGCGCTGACATCCTCTAGCATGTCCCATTCTGGTTTGGCGAATCCGACTCTGCTTGGAGTGACGTATTCCTCGACTCGAACCCATCTTCCTTGAATCCCGAAATGCCGTCTTCGATGGCAGACCTGACTAGATCTATGCAAGAGTATTTCGATGCTAAATCAAGAGCAACTTCGCCGTCGCTCAAAGCCAGCAATGTTTGGTGTTCCGCGCCGCCAACGCTGAATAATCACAACGAAGATATCGTCCGAATTTTATCGAATATCTTCCGCAAGAATATACCGCAAACATTCAACCTCTTCAAGGAAACAACCTCTCGCCGCAAAGGTACAGCTGCATATACTCTCGCAATGGCGGCCGTGGGCGGGCTCTTCTGTGCCGTCTCTGGCAGCTCCGAGGTTTCGAAGTCGATGTACAACGATGCTCGGAGGTTAGTGCTGGCCTCGGTAAGTCAATCTTCCCGACAGACTACTAATGCTGACGATATATAGTTCAACAGGAGAAACATTCTTGGTGATGTGTCCGCGACCTCTGAAGACAAGCTCATGACGGTGAAGACTGTATGTGACACCTGCTCCTTGTCGACGTTTATTGATAGGAACAGTTTGTGCTCCTTGCTCTCTATGGACTTTGCAGTGGTGACAAAAGGAGTTACGAATTTACCGAGGCTTTCCACGCCCACCTAATCGATGTATGCTGTCACTTGTCTATTTAATCTACATCAGACTAAGGCTATCTAGTCGGCACAAGAGTTCAATCGACAGTGCAGAGGTGCCACATTGGATAACGAAAGACAAGAAGAGAGCACTCGGTAAGAAAATCTATCAGAAGTTATTACAGATGTTTGACCCTCATAGACTGCTGGAGACATTGTACATCCTCGACTGTTACCGCGTCATTATCATGCAGTGTCCGCCTTCCTTGGCATGGCATCATCCAGATTCAGTCACTCAATTATCTTCTCCGATCGAACGGATATTCCAGTTGCACCACATGGAAGCGACAATTACTAACAACAGCCGCACGACCATCCAAAGCAATGGCACGGGATCTGGTCTTGCGAGTCTGGCTTCTCTAAGCCCATTTCTATGGCCCGCAATATATTCCCGTCAAAATAGGTACGGGGACAATGATGTGACGGTCGAAAGTGTTTCTCTGTGGAAAGCAGACTTGGTCGAGCTCGCCTGCGACACCTGGCTTCGATCCCAGGACGATGCGACAGCTTCGAACCTAACAGTGTACCACCTAATGAACATCATGCTTCATGCGAACCTCACTGTCATACAGAGCTTCGTACATTCCGCACCCGACTCAGCTGCAAGAGACCCAAAGAAAAGTCTGGCTGCCATGGAAATACATGCGTGGACACGAAGCAGGCATTATAAAATCGCACATTGGCACGCTGAGCATATGATTGCCGCGGTCGAAGGTGCTTTCACATCTCCATTGAGCAGGTCAGAGCAGTCAAACTTGCAGCAAGCACCCATACGCTCATCCTCGGGCACTGAGCCACGATGTCTACAATTTGAGACGCCTCACGTACCATACGCGGTATACTTCGCGACTTTGATCATTTGGTGTGGTGCGATGACTGGTGAAACGACTGTTTCAACCTCGTCCGCCCAGGCTTCAATCATAAGAGGCGAACGAATCCTGTCACTACACAAAGTGCACATTGCTCAACTACTAGCCCGTGTCTTGAGCGAGGTAAAATAGAGGCACAAGAACCAAATCATGTCTTCGCAAATGCTTGAGGTTGTGTGCACAAAATAGTTGCTTTTGTTGCAGGACCAAGCTCGCACAAAATTCTCCCCCTTTCTACATTTGGAGTTGCTTGTATAGATGAGAAATGGGGTTCCGAGCGACTGGCGAATTGCATGACTCGGATATACAAATCATGTCTGGTCAGCCTTGCACAGCGCAAGGATAATCAACCTCGCCTTGTGACACTTCTCAATCCTGCATTGTCACAGCTCGTCCTTCGTTTTGACACTTCCTTCCAAGTATCCTTTTTTGACGATGCTCCACTTCTGCAGACGATCGAGGACTTCGAACTCCCTCTTCAGCACTATTGATCCGATGGCGTTCCTGTACCGCTGGAAATGATCCTTGGCGACATGATTTTCCTCGATCCATTCCATGTCTCTGTTCCAGACCTCCGTGATGCGGAACGTGCCGGGCTCCGATGAGAAATGGAAGACGTCAAAATATATGCACTCGGGCATGTTGCATGTGGATTCCCATGCTGGTCGAAGAGCTTCGATGAATTTATCGACGTTGCTAGGGTCGATCTTGTAGGTAACATGGAAAGTAATGCCCTCGTGAGGAGTTTGAAGTGCTTTGGACATATTGGGGAGACAGAGCCAAATGATTCGGATCAATGGTCGAAACCGAAATGGATAGCAAAGGGCCACAACTTTATGCGACCGTAGATTTGACTTGGTACCGATGGGGTTGAGGCTTTTTGTGTGGCACGAGCTTAACATGATTGGTCCCCGGTCAACAGGTTGAACTCAGGCCGCTCGTACTTGTTTAGTCCGGCAATAAACATGTCGAATGTTGGAATATCAAACAAGTTCTTGGAAGTGGAAACATCTAGTTACGCAGCGACCGCATCAATGCGCTGACTGCAGAGATCTGTGCCATCAACATGATACGCGTCTACTCCAAATCAACGTCGAAAAGCACTTGGGCCAGTTGAAACATATCTATGCAGTCAATCCACCGTCAATGGTGTAGACTGCACCGGTTGTGAACCCAGCATCATCACTCAACAGAAACGCAATCAAGGCCCCAACTTCCTCTGGCTTCCCTGCCCGATTGATCGGAGAGGCACCCTTGTCGCTCTCAGACAAGTTCACCTGGCGAGCAATGTCCAGCATCTTAGTATCGATACTTCCCCTGCACGAGTCAGCCAAAAAGTCAAGGTCAAGTATGGAAAGGACGGACGGGGCAATCGCATTCACTCGCACATTCCGATGGCCATTCTCAATGGCGGCAACCCTGGTCATTCCAATAACAGCATGCTTGCTGGCGCTATATGCGAGCATATTAGGCATGCCCATTTTGCCCGCGACGCTCGCAGTATTGACGATGCTTCCTCCATCCTCAACATGCCGTAATTGAGCACGCTGGCATGCCATAATGCCCTTCACATTGGTTGCCATTACCAAATCAAAATCTCCATCTGTGACTTCATGCGCAGCTTTCAATCCAAACTCCTTGCCCACTATTCCAGCCAGATTCACACCTCCAGATAGCTTCGAGAAGTGCTTAACTGTTGATGCGATCCACTCGTTCACTTGTTCGGAATTTGAGACGTCCAGTTCGGTCGTGAGCACGTCTCTTTTGTACCTGGTGCGTATCTCTGCGGCAATACGATCCAGAGCCTCGAGATCCCTGTCGGCTAATGAAAGGTCCGCTCCTCTGGAAGCAAGAATAACAGCAGTGGTTGATCCAATCCCGCCTGCCGCTCCGGTGACAGCGATTACTTTGTCTTTGAGTGAGGCCATACTTGCCAGGGAGAGAAATAGGGCTGGAGGTGGCAAGAATGCTGAAGCAAAGTATAGAAGTAGAGTAAGAGGATCACACACGGTCTCTATGTTCAATTAATCATTGCCATTCCTTTGAAGAAAAAAAGTATTCGCCCAGCAATGTTAACAATAGACCTCCGCCTTGTCCAGCCATCTGGTGGCTCATGCTGCTATAAAAACCGTATTTGGGGACAGGTTTCTGCTGATGCGTATTGGTTGCTTCGCCTATACTCGATTTAAGCCACCAATCACGCTACCCACGGTTGACGTGGTATAAATTCTTAGCAAGACCTCCGTCTTGCGACAGTAGCAGTGCGGATCTGTATGGGGGCGGGGTCCCTCCAGCGAACAGCGGAGGCTTGGAAGACTGCGCCGAGTACGGGCCCCCAGAATCTTCCGGGTTAATTTGGGGTGCCTAGCCAGAACCACCCACCTGAGCGCTAGCATCCCTGTGAAATGAGAGGTAAAGTTGCATTGGAACTAGCTAAATCTATGCGACCAGGGAGGCTGCTTTTATAGCCACAATTACACATCGTGTCGGAGTGATCGAGGCCTAGCTGTCTGACTGTCGCTCGCCAGAATCTCATCCACAGTCGCTATTTGTGCAATAATGTATTGATGTTGAGATTTGTATTTACAGTCACATTATAACATAGCAGAAATCACTCATGGTAGCATGCTTTGTGAACGATTCAGATGAAGGTTTTCTGTACATTGATTCGTCCATAGCATCATTGTTTCTTCGGCATGAACAAATCCACCTTCTCATACTGTGGGAAGAAGTTTGTCTGCGCCTCTTTCAGATCCTTCAAGATGACCTGTCTTCTCGTTTCTGATCTGATTGTAGTCTTGCATGGGAACTCATAGGGACACATTGTGAGCCCCTCTCTATAACCTGTCTCGACGGTGGTGTCGAGAGCAACTAGCTTGCCAGTCTGTGGGTCGATCTTCTTCTCAAAATTGAAAGCCCAGAGCAGCTTGGAAATGGCGTGCCACAGATTTCTGTCTGCGAGATGAATACCTGGGCACAGGCGACGACCATTGCCTTCAAAACGACATCAGTGACAGAGATCAACCAGGAGAGCATAGACCTACCGAAGCCGTAATGGTCGCGATTCTCATAGTCGGCAGAGTTGGCATATTCGGATGACAATGCTATTCGTCCTTTGTAGTGATCGGGGTCAAAAGTATCGGAATCTGGAAACTTCGTCTCATCGTGATGTAGACCCCAGACATTGACAAACACAACCGTGCCTTTTGGGAGTAACTTGCCGTCCACCCACTCATCTAGGACCGAATCAGAAAGCACTGTAAGGTCAGAGTTGAACGTACCTTCCGACAGCGCATGTGGGAATCCTAAAGGCGCGGTGGGTCGCCATCTCATTGTCTCTTTAACGACAGCCGCAACGTACGGCATACTGTCGTAGTCGGACCAAACTGGAATTCGAGTCTCACCCACAACCGCATCAATTTCCGCCTGTGCCTTCTTCTGCACCTCGGGAAAAGCGAGCATTGCCTGGACGAAGGAAGCCAAAGTTGAAGCCGTAGTGTCGGAGCCTCCCTTGAGTGTGACACCAGCAAGCAGCATAACATTGTGATTAGTCAAGCCGCTTTTCTCACTTTGATCCAGAATTCGATCTGCAATGCAATAGACAGATCCAGTCATCGCTCTTCGTGTTTCGACAGCCTTAAGAAGCCCTCCGTATAGACTGTGTACTTCGTCATGTACAACTTTCGATCGAGTCAACCAATTCCCCAAGAATCGCTCGGGAATCCACTTGAGGAACGGAAATAGATCCACTGGAGGAGTTGCGCCAAATTCATTTATCCTCGCCCATAGCTCGACGATCTCGTTGAGTTTCTGCGTCCAAGGAGCCTCAATGGATGGCGTTCGAATTCCGTACACTATTGAAAATTAGTATCTTCTTCACAAGATGACCTTCCCTTGAGGCGCCTACCGATACACATAATGATACTATTGCTGTACCTCTTGAGATGAAAAACCCAGTCGTCTGGATTATGGAGCATATCGTAGAGTAATTGGACACTTTCAGCTTGGTGCAGCTTGCTGTGCTCCCTGTCGCAAAGAGATTCGGTCAAGTCTTGATGGATCAGCTTCCTCATTAAGCGCCATCTCGGGGTGTTATCCATCATCAGCATATGGTCTCCCTCGGTAATGAGATTCTGCGTGACCAACGAGACAGGTCGGTTGCTCGAGGTCGAAGCTTTCTTGTCCAGTAGTTGCTTGATGATTCGTCGGTCGGTGAGTACAACCACAGTGCCAGGACCCATCTTGAGACTGAACATGCCCCCATACTTCTTTGCCCATTCTGTGAACCTGAGTCTGGGTGAGAATATCTAACCCGCGCGGGTGAATGAACAGACGTACTGCAAGTATGGCTTATGCTTGGGAAGCTGGTGCATATTTCCAATGATTGGTAAAGTGGGTGGGCCTCGATCATCACATCAGGTCGTGCCTCCTTTGCTCTTGGGACTAACATGCTCACCATTGGGTAAGTTGCGACCTCGCCTCCCGGAAGAACACAAGACATAAATGAGAAAGCATGTCGAAAGGACAACGCTGCTCAGAAACAGGTAGGTGGTCATTGTGATGGAGATCAATACTTTGCTCGCTGTCGCTCGATCGAAATCTTCTTAGCAACAGTCCGGTTTTGTCGGTATTGCATCTTCTAATGTCGTCTATAAGTAACAAAGGCCAAGCAGGCTTTGGGGTTCCGTCTTCGAGTCGGGGCATGCAGCTTGACCAAGCTGGAACGAGAACGTCTAGACCGATGTGGGAATGAGCCCTTGGGGTAAGCGATGGGCAATCGGAGTCTGAACCACAGTGATATTCCTGAGAAAAACTGACTACCTGAAGCTACGGTTGGTGGACGAAAAAGCCTCGGATTCTCGCGACGTATTCGAGTCTATGCACACGACACAGATTAAGTCATACCTGTGTTTCATTGATTCGTTTGCCTTGCCCACAGCTTCTCTTGCGGAAGCCTGACTCTAGTTGATCCGGTACATTGCAGGTGAGGAGGACTTCGAGACTATGACAATCACATTCGGTATGTCTCAGCTTGGAAGAGGTCAAAAACCTCCTGCACGATTTGATTGCGTGTCATGGGTCAAGGACTTCACTGAATGGCGTCCCACAAACCACATCGACATAGAACCAGC